TATATATACCATGGCATCCTCATCCTTATCAAAGACAGCAGCGTCAGTGTTGACACCGATGCTTCGCTGCCAGAGTACCATAGCATCATCTGGCAGAGTTCATCAGGATCAGTTTTTCTGAAGAGGAACAATAGGGTGTCCACGAAAAATTCCAAAGCTGCTATGAACAGCTTCAAATCTGACCTGGCCAGCACATCTTGTCAGTACGGATCGGTTTATCCAATTTCTGACGGTGCGATTAACGGTCGCCAACAGGCTTATCAGCACCTAAGTGACGACAGGTGAATGATCATCACAAAACCAGACAAAAAAGCAGGTGTAGCATTTTTGGATGGAAACAGATATGGGAATGAATTTGAATCGATCCTGTCTGAAAACACCAACTAGTTGTGCTGCGGAACATAGGCTGCCCAAAATAGCTAAGAAAATAATGGTGTCATTAGTACACAAGAATCCGAACAGCTCAGACCCACTGGACATGTGTTCTTTACCCAATCCCGCAAGACTGACGTACCCCGGCGTCCAATTTTTGAGACGCGTAATCGCCACACGACCAAGTAGTTACCTGAAGCTTCAAACAGATCGGAGGCTGGAATGCTGAGCGCCGCATTGGCAACCTATTAGGTTTTATTACGAATCAGAGATGCGGCCATTTCCGACGACGAGGTGTCATCCTCGGTTGGTACGACACCTACAGCCAATATACATTTAAAAAGATACATGTAAGACATACACATACATACATACATACATACATACATACAAACATACATACATACATACATACATACAAACATACATACATACATACATACATACAAACATACATACATACATACATACATACAAACATACATACATACATACATACATACAAACATACATACATACATACATACATACAAACATACATACATACATACATACATACAAACATACATACATACATACATACATACAAACATACATACATACATACATACATACAAACATACATACATACATACATACATACAAACACATACATACTTACATACATACATACATACATACATACATACATTTAAATGCATTATAAACGAAAGATTCATTTGGGTTCCAGATGAGTCTCTCGAAAATCCAAATTTATTTGCAATTGAGTGTATATTCGCTGTTTTATCGATCTTTTGACCAATGCTTTACACAATAGCACGTTTGTGCCTTTGATTGCTGATTCAAACAAGAGAGGAATTGGCCCTTTTGAGTACATTTATTTGAGAAAGGCTGTCGAGGAATTTTCAGCAACCTTGTGAGTAGTGTATTACGTGTATACATGTATAGCGATATCTCGGAAATCGTAACAACTGAAACGTGACGGGGCCTGGTGTAGCACATTCATTCTCTTAAAAACATTAAAAAAAACGACAGATTCCGCAGGGTTCCAGGTGAGCCTCTCGGAAATGAGTGTATTTCGCCAGTATATGTTTAATAAGGGTTGCACAATATGCGTGTCATATCATTCACGAGAGCACAATTCAAACCACCTTGCCTTCTGGTAAGTTGCAGGCATTAAATTTTCACTAGGTACTGGTTTTGCAATTTCTGATCAGCTGCTCATTTTGCAGAAAGGTGGATGGTGCAGTCCATGGGCTGTCTAACTGCACACATGTCCAAATTTGGAAACAACTTACTGGTTTATAAGATGGAAATGTATGAGTTTATAGAGGGTAAGTCATTGATACTTTCTTGATTTGCGATAAATTTTGTCTATTCTGTATTTTGGACAAACGCACTCCTTTGTATAGCCATTTGCTTTCATAAGAGACTCACCTGAAGCCCAGATGAAGTTCCCGGTTATGATGTTCTGAAGCAACTGAATGTGCTGCCGCCCCATGTTTCAGTTGGTGCGATAATCGAGATATCGCAGTATAGTTTGTAGGCATAATACGTCACTCATAAGGTCGAGGAGATTTCAGCAACCTTATGAGTAGTGTTTTCTGTCTATGCCGTCTATTTGTTTGTTTTTGCTGAGAGCACCAAAGATTTTATTGAGTTGGGAAATTCAACCGGAAAAACCAGGTGGTAGTGATTGATATATAATCGTCTCGAGGCACGGTGCTGATATTAGACGATGCGTGCACTGCAAGCCCAAGTAACGTCCCACGGAGAACTGGACTAAAATTGAGACATCTTTGTGACACAGCCAAATAAAATGCAATCTCTTATGTGCACTTACTAGCCAGATCAGTCGAACAAACCACGCATAAGTCATTTCGGTAATGAAAAACTCGAGAAAGCTTTCAATGAGACAGAGTTAGCACGGGTCTTCAGACCCAGCCCCTTTACCAAACAACATCTGAAGGACCAACTTACTTCAAAAGCTGCCTGTGGGTGTGTTTATCAACTTGCATTTACACCACTCTCATTTGAACAGTATTTTCCCTTTCTTGGTGCAACTGTTGTGGCGACATAACGCCTAATAAATGAGGCACCTGACCTAAGTTCTGCTGTCATTGTACCGAGTTTGAACCCGTGGCAACTCACATGAGAAGTAAGCATGTCACTAGAACCCCACCGACTGGACAGGCACTCATTATCAGATGCATTTGTATGGGTTTGAATATTTATGTCAGTCAAATACGAGATAACCATCCAAACAGCTGTTTGAATATATTCCGGAGCGTCGATGCAGCATTTCTGAAACGATCTCGAAATGCATTTACACAGTCCTACCAAGGTTAAGGCGTAACACTGCGCATGTGATTACTATAATCTCTTCGACAGTCCATTACAAACGGGAGATTCAGCCAAATTAATTTGAGGCCCCCTTGCAAAACAACTTAACCTGTAACTGACCAGTTATCATCATCACTGTCAGCTGTATGAACCGCGTACTTGTCGTACAGTGGTTGTAGCTGCCACAGTTTCGTTCACCGATGATTCGTGGAGGCGGGAGCTGATAAATTAGTGCGTAAATACAGCACTGTAGGTGGACTGTTAATTAGGGGGATTGGGAAGGGAGCTACGAATTGAAGGAAATAGCTTGGATNNNCGGCAGTGACCAGCGTAGCTGAGTTTGCTGCTAATGGCTTTCATACTTCGTTGCCAAGTCATTATTTGACCGCCTCTGGCTCTCTTCCACCCTTCGCGTGGTTGTGCGAAAAGAGCCCTTCGAGGAAGTCCGTCGACCGGCATACGCAGCACGTGGCCAAGCCAGCGCAATGTATGCAGTGTGATCAGTTCATTTATCGAAGGTGGGTTATTTCTCCCGAATACCATTCCACGATTTTCCGCATTGCTTATCCGGTGTTCCCACCAGATTTGGGCAATGCTCCGAAGACATCGATGGTCAAACACTGAAAGTCTTTTGACGTCCTCAGCACGCAGCGGCCAGGTTTCTGATCCGTATAGTATGTGTTCCCCAGGCAGACGAGGAAGTGTAGAAAAGTTACCTCCGTCCAGCCCGTGACGATTGTAAACCACGTTTTATTACGACGCATCCAGGGTATTCATTAGTACACTGACAGCCTTGCTGAAGCCGGTTCGAACTCTGCATTGTTTCCTCGAATCCAAGCGGCTTCAAGTGTCGTCCACTCTGACCATTTTTTCAACTGTTTGTGTCAGTCGACTGTCGACTTTCGTTCGTCTTCATTGCTAAGATAATCTTGTCCAATAAGTGACATTTACCTGTGTTGAAATTTAGGTGTGCAGGTGGATGATTGGTAAACTATGAGCGGTATTCAGATGGCTAATGGTTGACTCTGTGGCGTCATCACACACTCTACGACCCACTTTTGTACAGTTATCCACAAATGGAAGTAAGGAGACCATAAAAACAAGCCGAACAAGGTACAGTGATAGAAGTTGTGCGGGAAGCCGTCCTCGAAATACTCTCTTAACCTTCTGTGACGAGCTGTTAATCTTCAATTTTGAGGTGATCTTGTGGCAACCGAGTTCGGCGTACGCCGGAAACTGAGTGGCTTCCAGTTTCATCCATCGAGATACAAGGAGGTGGGAAAACAATGATGGTTCGAAAACTGTATGGGGGCGAATTAGACTACAAGGCCATGGAATGGGGAAAGTACCACTGTTGAAAATGTGGTTGCGTGGTTTGGACGTTCGAATCCTGGTGTTTGTTCGCTGGCACTCTGTGAGAATCCAGCGTCACGTTTTGCTCATTTGAATCACTGTATAACTTGCATGTCCGGTTCTTTTTTGTGCTGACTTCTGGTGTGAAGCGTGCGTCACAGCGAGATCTCATTTCAGATAAAAGTTTGACTCGACATCGTTGTAGTACGTTGTTAGATGCATAACAACTCTGAGAAATGATGTTCATCGTATCCCACTTGAAATTACTAAGAGGGAGTTAACGAAGAGAGATCAATGCATCGGAAGAATGAAAAACCCCTAAAAGTTTATCATTAAAGTCTTTGAGTTACCTCAAATCGAAAAATTTGTCCAAACAATCTGAGGAGAGTGTTGGCATCACACAAAAAAATATATTCTTCAAAGAGTGGATACAGCCAAGCTTAAACTGATTTTGCTACAAATTACCAACGTGTCCATCTTGAGGCTCGACTTGTTGCGATTATTTGTTGAACGCTCAAACTGTCAGATTCTCTGTATCCATCCATTTTCCTCAAATGAGTTGTTCTGTTCTCTCCGTTTCATCAGTTACTGTTCGAAGATTTGAAAAGTTACGCTTTGACTTTCGGTTTTCTACTTCCCGATAAGTTGCTAGTATGAAATCTCTTGTCGCGCTTCGGAACGATGGAACGAAATTCCCTAAAACAAATCACAGCCGGAAATATTAGCTTAGCTTTACTCTCTCCCGGTCACTTTTAGGGACAGTTTACTTCCCCTCCCGAATCGTCTTAGTTACAAGTCGAGCTCAACGGCAGAATCGGTGTAGTGGATCTGGTAGGGTCTCATGATATTCTTGGTATCAGCTGGAACACGCAGGAACTCTCGATAAAGTATTTATCAGCTGTGCTCTAGGTGAACCACGGCACTCGACTTATCTTGCCACCTGAGATAGGATGCTACTCATGTAACGGTGATACTACTGATCGGAGAGGCATGCGAGTAGTACGTTTTCTTCTTGTAAATTTGCTTTTCGTCTCTTGAATAGAGAGAGATCTATTGCGGAATTTGTGTAGGTGCTTTGTATCATTTGCTTGGATTTGAGCAACACTCGATGAATATCCAGGAAAGTTCAGGAAGACGCGTTCAAGAGAAGATGGATGTTCAGTTTTTGTAAACAAGATGCATATGAGAGTTTTACTTCCCTGTCTTATGGTCTATAACTGTTCAGCAGCGAAGGCCTTCTTCCTGTCACTCGTATAGTGCTACTCATACCCTGCAGGATTATTTTATACAAAATTCGTTTTGGTTTTTGCAGCTTCTACCTGTTTCCTATCTCCTGCCATCTCCAGTAACGTCAGCCTGAAAGAATTAATCACCGACACCTATTCTTCGGCATGAGTTTTTGCGGCATGCAATCAAATGATTTTCACAAGATTGTTACGATTGGTGCAACATTGCGAGGAAACTGAACGGCATTGATCAATGAACTGTGTTAGAGTAAACACGTGCATGGATTTGAGAAGCATCGAGCGAAAGTAATGTGTTGCTGGAAACACATGAGTTAATGTCAGCTGATAAACTCTTAGTGAAACACATTCTGGACACCATGAGTGTTCATCTTCGTAGGAAGAGAACATCACGAGCATATTGAATATGGATCTGAGAGCAGGTGCTGTATTACTTGAGCACCTTTTTTGTCGAAAACAACATCATAGGTCGACCCTGAAGAAACTAGCCTAATGGGTTCAAATTGTTACTTGGATTCATGCTCCAAAAAAGTAATACCGCTCGCATTTGGGCTTTACAATGGCGGACAAGGCCATTCGCATATGGTTGGTCAGAACCTCAGGCGGTTTACTGAGTCAGTATCGAAGCGAGCTCTGATTGGTCGGAAAGGTGGACCAGATAATCAATAACATCTGGTATCCGCTGCATCGCCAGCGTCGCGTCCGAATTCTCACAAAGTTGCATCAACATTTGCTTCAAATATGACACACTCCAGATAATTTGTTTACCTGCTCTGCGCGGTTACTTCACTTTGTGGGCCTGTGGTGGAACTGCTGGTTGCTAACTTGGGAGAATCAGGTCAATAAATGAACTGAGGCCTTATCTTCAACATACATGAAAAATGTTCATCAGAAAAAAGTCGTTCAGCTGTAACACCCTTCCGGTGCTTAGCTACCATGCTCTTCGAAGGAAGTACGAGGTCTGGGATACGGCCAGGTTGCCCAAGTATAGACAGAGGAAGTCGAGAGTCAGAGGTCGGGCTCGAACCATGGACCTTCCGGTCAGTAAATTCGCGCTCTGACCACTTAAGCCATCTCGCCCCGTGTGTAAGAAACAAAACTAAGTTTGTTGTCGTGCAGTGAAGGATGCTGCCACGTTTGAACCAGATCCCAGACGTGTCACGAATGATTCTTTCCTTTGGTTGAAGTAGTCTGCTCGCTGCAGCCATGACTAATCGATGAAGGTTTTTGATAAATCCATCTATCACCTATCGGACTGGTACAATCATTTATGAATTGGGTCTGACGTTTCCAAAAGCCTTTCTATGGATACTGAGTTGCTGATAATCAGGACTGAAACATAGCAGTCATTTCAAATGAGAAGAACAACAGTCTCTTAAATGTGGAAATCAAAGCAGAAATATGGACTCAGTCATTGATCAGCGGAACTTTTTGGGAAGTGGCAACTGTGGTTTTTTTTGCCATCTTTCCAGGCTGCCAAATTTTGTTCATCCTCACTCCGGTTTCTGGATGTTCCAGATGAGTGTTCTTCGGCTGAATACTATTCAAATGTGTGGTCTAGAAACAAGTTGATGCTACTCCTCCCCTCAATTGTTTCTGTGAATTATGTTTCATGGGAACATCTGCCCCTTAGTTTACCTGATGTGATGAGGTGCAGCGTTAGGAGTTCGACTAAATTATGTGAGCTCATATCACTCCCGATTAGGTGCACACATGTGTCGAATAGTTAAAGTTTCACGTTCTATCAAAAACATCAAAACGTCTTTTGGAGCAGGCAAACTCTTTCTCGAGGACACTTACTCATCATCACGTGTCATTATCACGTCAATCGATCCTAACGCAGTGCTGACCGACTCCACATCGTCGATCGCCAGGCTTCTATGGCACACAGATGACAGAGCTGAACTTAACTCGTTGTTGAAGGTTTCAGCGCAAAGGAGGCAGCCACCGACGTGAAAATATCTTGAGGCCACATTGTTTAGTCGTTTAGAGCCTGTCCTACGTGCTCAGAAATACTCTGGGGTCACCCTGAGACTTTGTTGGTTCAGGTGAACTGTCATATCGTTCTAGGCTTATACAAAAGTCATAAGTTGTATTATTTATCTTGCGGCGGAAGAGTGTGAAAATCAATTTATTCCGCCATCTCGTTATCACTGCGTTTTCCGGGTAGATCATGGAATTGAGGTGCTTCAATCCAGTCATACGAAGATGTGGTCTTTGAAAGAGGACTTCCAAGAGGGTACGGCTAACACAAACATCGACTCACAACGCACTGGCGATGAACTGTTTGCAATAAAATTGCTCAGCTCAACGAAGCAACCAACGACCGCACAGTTCACTTCTGAAAATGTATGCAGGGATCCCTTAAACGAGAATGTCTTTTCATCAGTAGTTTTAACACTCAGGCTTATATAAAACATTTGAGACATACTGCTCACAATCCATCAATAAATGTTTGATCATTCAGCGGAATCGCTATGTTCATTTCAAAGGCAAAATTGCTGTTTTTCATGAGGTTACCGAGCAGTTACAGAGAAGTTTTCATTCGTATAACTATGTGGCACGTGACTAGGTCACGTGAATTCGGTGAGTAAAGGACAATTGACGCATGATTCTGTCGAGGTGTACGCTGGTCCACCGATCACGGGCTCGCCGTCAAACGGTTGAGTTCAGCAACATTCGATGGTGGAGACATTCTCACAATTTGGTCAGGTTGACGGCCATTTTTGTTGACAATAAAAGCAAGGTATTACGCAGAACTGCATGATCACCTGATAACACAGTGTGAACAGCTTTGTGCGAACTGCTCTGATGCACAATTGTAAGTCCAATTAACTTGCACAAAACCGTCACTTTTGTCAAAAATGTCAACAAAACCAGTGGTTTCAAGATTTTTTTGTCATACGAGCTCGAGGAACCTTGTTCTCGTTGCACGCTCTAATTCACTCGAAAGCCCGAGTTTTTACTGAGTTTCCACTTCACTGACTTGTGAAACTTTGGCGCACGTGACACACCGCACGTCGATAA